TACAATGAAGATTCGGTTTATTATTTTAACTCTCTCTCTCTCTCTCTTCCCTCTTTCCCTTTCTCTCTCTCTCCTCCTTTCCCTTTCTCCTTTTCTCTCTCTCTCTTTTAATTTTTATACATACATATATATGTATATTTAATCATTTTAAATTTCCTTTTTTAACATTTTGCGACGGTTAAACCGGAAGTTGAAATATATATACATATCGAATACGAATCGTGTGTGTATTTTCTTATATACGATGCGTATTTCCGGTTCTGCTTCTTTTTTTTTTTTAAATAAAATATTACGTCATCATTAATATAGTTTTACCGACACGATTTTCCGAAAAAAGAAAAAAATTCAAAATGGCGAAATGACGTCATATTTAATTAAAATATATAATTATGATAAAATATATAACATCTCATACGAATTTTTAATTAAATAAAGAAAAAAAATTTTTTTTTTTTTAATGTAAAATCTCCACGTGACGTAATAAGACAAAACCTTGGAAAATTTTTTTTTTTTTCTAGAAATTTCTAAAGTTTAATATATATATATATTTTGTTTTATTACATTAGTATTCTTTTAATTAACCAATTATGTCTGACACATACACACACACACACACACAGTTTCCATTACGCTTCTTTCAAACCGCTCATCAAACATAGTCATAACAATTTTACATCTTTCTCTCTCTCTCTTTCCTCCCCTTCTGTCTCCCATTCTCCCTCTCTCTCTTACTTATTTCTTTAAAAAAAAAAAAAAAATGAAAAAGAACGAGAAAAAAAAAAGTAAATTTTTTATTTAACTTTTGATTTTTTTAATTTTTTGTAATTTAATGATTATAATTTATGTTTTAAAAAGGGATACTGAGGGGGAGGGGGGGGTTCAAGACAAAACTCCCAAGGGGGAGGTAAAAGAATAAAGTGAGAAGCGGGGGACTGGGGGGCCCGGGTGAGCAACAGAAAAAAAAAAAAGAAATTTTTTATTAATAAAATAAAATAATTCTTTTTACGTATACATTTTTTTAAGAGTGAGAGAGAGAGAGAGAGAGGGAGGAGGGGGGGGCGAAAAAGGGTAAACCTTTGACGGTAATAAAATTAGGCAACTAAATAATAATAATAATAATAATAAAATTTCCTTTACCTGTCACGTAGATTAAAAACTCCGCCGCTTCCAGGATCCAATTTTAAAAATTTTCCAACGTCATCTGAACCTTTATAAATATTTATCAACCAAAATTGTACGGAATAATAAAATTGATTGTCATCAACAATGATTTTTTCCGATGATGATGACGATGACGCTGATGACGATGATGATGATGATGATGATGGTAACGTTTCGATGGCCAAACCGTGGAAAACAATCGGCGCTCTTTTAGCTCTTTCTTCCAAACCGACATCTTTCCATCCGTCTAACGTTTCAATGCACGCTTTTACGTTTGTTAATAAAAAACAAAAATTTAATAATAATAATAATAATAAATTATCGTTCGATTTCATTATTAATATATACATGTATGTACAAAACAAACAAACAAACGAACGAACAAACGAACAAACGGAAATAATTAACACAACACGACGATAATAATAATTAATTAAATAAATAAATAAAAAAACAAAAACAACTTAAACGATAAAAAAAACCGAACGTTATTATTATTAATAAGTTTTTTTTCTGTTAATGTATATGTTTCGTGAACGTTAAATTTTACGCGACACGTTCGCCCGAACGTTATTCATTTCAAACTGTGAACTGTGTATTTTCCTTGATTTCGAATCTCTAATGCAAAAAACGAATCGACTGCGCATCATTCAAAACTCTTCTTATTGTACGTTATTTTCTAATTGTTCAATTTGTTTTCCTTTTTTTACCCTTTTTCTTCTTTCCTTTTTTTTCCTTCCTTTTTTTAAATTAATTTGAGCGTTAATTTTTTTTATACAAAAATTTTCCGATACTATTTCCGGTTTATATTTTTAATCACGTGATAAAAAGAAGAAAAAAGAAAAATTTACGAAATTATTCGTAATAATAATCCGAGATTTTAATTTTTTAATTTTACCCCTTCTCCCTTCCCCTCCTCCCCCGTTTTTTTTTTTTTTTTTTACGTAAACGTGTTAAAAAATTCTTCTGCCACTTTTAAGTGTAATAATATATATATATAAATCGATTTATCGTTAAATTAATTCACATCGAAAAAAAAATTCGAGTTATTAAAAAACTTATCGATACGATATCGGCCATCATTATTTTTTCCTATAATTTCCTCCATTTTTTTTTCTACATCGTTTTCATTAATGCGACCGTAACTTATTCGTTGACCCCCCCTTCCCTCCCCTCCCGCACTTTTCAACCGTCCTTCATCAAAAAGGATATTAATTTTCATTTGAAAACTTTTCGTTCGTTCCCCCCATCTTTGAATTACAAAACTTATCGATAACATCTACAAAAAAAAACATTTTTTATTATCATTATTATTATTATTATTATTATCATCATCATCATTATTATCATCATCATTGTTATCATTATGGAACGAGAAAACAATATAAAAAAATTTTTTAATTAAAATTTACTAAAAAAAAAAAAAAATTGAAAGACGCTTAAATGAATACAACGGTAAAATAAAAATGGCGGCACGAGAGCAGACGACAAAAAAAAATTTGTTTTCCGCCTCACCACCACCCCTTCCCCCCTTCGCGGTGCACAAACGCCCATACCTTTATTTTATTTATTTTTATAATAATAATGATAATAATCGTGATGATGATGATGATGATGATTTAAATTTAAGAAGAGAAAAAAATTTTTTTTTTTCTTTTTTGAAATGTTCTGAACATGAAAAGTTTTTCCCCCTTCTTCCCCTACCTTTTCTCTCCCACCCTCCGGGTATTTCATCGTTAAATCCTATTATTATTATTATTATAAAAAATTCACAGGAAAACCCTATGGAAATTTCTAGAATTTTCTTTTTCTTCTTTTATCGGGTAAAAGGTATACTACTATTACTACACAACGTGAATCTCATTAGGTTCGAAAAGGAAAAAAGGAAAAAAAAATCTGATTTGAAGGGTAACCTTCAAAGGAAAAAAAAAAAAAAAAGCAAAAGGTTTTTTTTTCTTTTTATTTCCTTTCCCCCTCCCCTCCCCATTCTCCTCCTCTTCCCCACGTCCCTCCCCCCACCGTCATCTTAAACCCACATTTTTTATTCCTTTTTAACCGACTCTTTCACCTTTTCCTTTCCTTTTTTTTCCTTTTTTCTTCCTTTTTCTCTCCATTTCATCTTAATCGACATACACACGCGCACACACACATCCCCCGAAGAAGAGTCTGTTTGATATTTTAACCTTTTTCTAAGAGTTTTAAACTAACCAATAAATCATCAAATTTTCTTAACACTTTTTACCCCCCCTCCCCCCCCCAAAAAAAAATCAATCGATCCAACTTTTTTTTTTCTCTTATGAACACTAATAAACAATATCATCGATAATAATAATAATGATGATAGTAATGATAACGAAGTGATAAATTAAAATAATTAAAAAAAAAAAAATTATTATTATTATTATCGAGTTAATAATATCAATTTATCGTCATTAAAAGTTTTTTCCCTTCCCCCTCCCTTTCCTCCCCTCCCACCTCTTTTCCTTTGAAAAACGAAAAATTCTTTATTAATGATATCATCTCTTTCTACCTCCTCCTCCTCATCCTCCTCCCTTCTACTCTTCAAAAATTATTATTATCTGGAGAAAAGTAAAAAGTAAAAAAAAAAAAATTAATTAAGTTTTTTTTTGTGGTGTTTTAAGAAGTCGGAGAGGGGAGGGGGACGGAGAGGGGCGGGAAGCGGGGAGGAAGGAGACTCCAGGAAAAAGAAAAAATGAATTGTCGGTGATTTATTTACCTACTTAACTTAAGGGGTTAAAAAATATCAAAAAAAAAAAAAAAAAAAAGTTTTCATATCGATTCAGGTAGTCCAAACAAAAAAAAAAAAAAAAAAAAAGAGGTTGGTAAGACTGTAAGTACGCGAATTACATAGAAAAAAAAAAAAGGTAAAAGAGAGAGAAGGGAAGGGAACGGGAATGGAAGGGAGAAGAAGGAAACGTTAACTTTTCTTTAAGTTTTTTTCTTTTTTCCTCCAGTTTCTTTATTCTCCAGTTCCTTCTTCTCCAGTTTTTTTTTTTAATGCATATATTTAATGAGATTCAAACCTTTCCATTTAATTTACTTTGCGGATTGACGACAAACATAAACGAAATTTTTTTTTTTTTTGCTTACCTCATTTTCTAAAATCCTATTTGGAAATTTCTAGAAAATTCAATTATTATTATTATTATTATTATTATTATTATTAAATTGACTTAATACTTACTATTATCGGTAATTGAAATGCACACACACATCCTACAAAAAAAAAAAAAAAAAAAACAAAAAATTTTTAAATCCGCGTTTTGTCGTTTGTCCGTTTGTTTGTTCGTTTAAATTTAATTAATTCACTTATTATTATTATTGTTATTATTAAATTAAACGATTACTTGGGATTCTGGAAGAAAAGGGTTGACCGTAATAAAAAAAGAAAAAAGGTAATTATAATTTATTATTATTATTATTATTTTTTCTCCATAAATTAATTTTTATATAATAATAAAAAAAAAATTTTTTTTTTTTTTAATCCTTCCAGCATCCTTATCGATAACAACAACAACAACAACAATTTTTTTTTTGTTTCCATCAGTCTCTTTAATAATAAAAAGAAAAGCGAGAAAATTTTTTTTTCCTGGATAAACAAAAAGAAAAATTAAAGCAGAAGAAAAAAAAAAAAAAATTTTCTCGCGTATGTGAAAAAAGGTTCACGAAGAAGAGGATGCGTGTGTGTGTGTGTGTGCGCATGTGTATGCCTAGAAAAATATTTAAAAAAACTTTTGTAGGATCAAAAGGTTCCAACCGTTCGATCCAGAAGGAAAATTTCTTATCGAATCCTCATTTTCTAGTAATTTTGGAAAACGTTACGTAACGTTTTCCAAAATCCACGGAACGAATTTCGATATCCTCGTGCAGACTCCGGGAAGATTCGCTTCTGCGCATCCGATACCCCAACTTATAATACCCGCGAGAAAATACCTTCCATTTTTTCCTTTGACTTGTAACGGTCCGCCGGAATCACCCTGAAAAAAAAAAAAAAAAAAATTTTCTTTTTCGTATCACGAACGTAACAACTACCACCTGTACGTGCGTAAGCGATAAGAACGGGAAACGGAAGTGAAGAAAAGAAAAGAGTTAAAAAAAAAAACCGGAAATGATTTAATTACACTCTACCTGACAGGAATCTTGTCCCCCGTTTTCATATCCGGCACATAAAAAAATTTTTGGAATGAATTCGTGACGTCCCGCTCTTAAAAACATCGATTTGCATTTATCGTTGCTAACTATGGGTACGGAAACCTTTAAAAAAAAAAAAATGTCATTTCAGGTTGACCAACAAAACAAAACAAAACAAAACAAACCCCTCTCCCTATTCTAACTCTCTAAAACCTTCGTAAATTAAAAAAAAAAAAATATTTCTATATGGTAAATGAATATGTTTTTTTTTCCATTTCTAATAAATTTTTCCTTTGAAAAAAAGGAAAAAAAGGAAAAAAGGATGAACAATCCGACAATTTCAACTTTTTTTTTTTTTTTATTTCATTTTATTTTATAACTAAAAAAAAAAAAAATCTAAGCAATAAAAAGGTTCAAAATTGAAATCCGCCATTGAATTTATGGCAAATCGAAAATTCCTTTGTTTTCTCTCTCTCTCTCTCTTTCTCTCTTACCTTTTTATATATATACGGATAATATTCGCATAAATTTTAAAACAACAACTTCCGCTTTCTCTCTCTCTCTCTCTCTCACTCACTGACTCACTCACTCTTTGAAAACCTGCGAAAATTTATTATTTTTAACGAATTATACGCGTGGTTGGGAGAAAAAAAAAAAAAAACCTCCCGAACGGAGGGGAGGAGGTGGGAGCGGGAATGAGGAGGGGGTACGTGTACGCGCGTATGAATAAAAATATTAATAATAATAATAACGATAAAAAAAATTATTTTTTGTCCAAGTTTTCCAGTTATTTTCCAGTTAAACAAAATTTTCCCTTTTGGCGGTTTAGAAAAAAGGAAACGAAAACAGCAAGAAAGAAAAATTATTATTATTATTATTATTATTATTATTTACGTAAATAAAGTGAATAAGGTTTTAAAAAAGGTTTGAAAGGGTTTGTTGAAAGGTTTGGAGAGAAAAAAAAAACGTTTCCATTTATTAATTTCGATTTTTTTTAAAAAAAAAAAAAAATTTCTTGTCGCGTAAATAAAAATAAAAATAAAAAACGTTTTTTTTTTTTTTTTTATTGATTTAATTCCACGTCGTTTTTTGTCGTCGTGTCAGAAAATGTCGTCGTTTACGTTATTTTTTATTTACTTACACGTTTTGACTTTATGTAAATTTCGGAGAAGAAGAAAAAAATAAATAAATAAATAAAATTTTACTTACTTTAATTAATTAAAGTTTTTAAATTTAAAACTTATTATCATTATTATTATTATTTATTTAACGCACCTGCTGTAAAACTGATGGTAATGTCCCACCTTCGCTCAATCTTCCCCAACCCGTAACGGTCGCATTTTCTCCAATTAATAAATCGTCGGATGCTGGAAGACAAATCGGAGCTATGTGAGGTTGAAATTCCAGCGACGATTCCAGGCGAACGAGAGCCAAATCGTATTCGTACGTGAAAAAATTATATTTCGGATGAACTACTTTTTTCGATATTCCCCTCTCGACGAACGGATACGGTTCTTGAACGCTTGAAAAATCATATTCCCCCACCCGGATTCTTATTTGTGACGTCAACAAACTGAAATCGTCGTGACGATGATGATGATGATGATGATAACGATTTAATTACAAACAATAAAAAAAAAAAAAAATTTGTATTTACTCGTCAACGCAATGTCCAGCGGTTGCTATCCAATTTTCATTTATGACGGCACCCCCGCACCTGTGAGTGCTGGAAAATCCAAAAAATGAAGTTCTCCGTACCGAAACCTACGGATTTAACAAATAATAATAATAATAATAATAAATAAAAAATGGCGGTCGAAAATAAATCGAAAAAATTGGTGTGTAATGAGGCGCAAACATGCGGATAAATTGAAAAATTCATACCTGCCACGGCCATCCGCCGAAAGGTGCATTTTTACCCCCGACTATTCTCATTTCTGGACGTGGCAGTAGGGATGCAACCCCACATTCTGTAATAAATCAAATTCGATTAAAATGTTAAAAAAAAAAATTTACAAATTTTTTGACGTTTTAATTTAGTTTCGTAATCATCATCATCATTTGTGTGCGACAATTCGATCGTAAAAATGCGACAAAACATTTTTTTATGATCGGACGTCATTCATTCATTCATTCATTCGCCCGCGCACATCCCGCACACCGAAAAAAAATTCATTTGAATTACTAAACAATTTCTCTCTCCCCTTCTCTCTTTCTCTCGCGGGCAAAAAGCGCATCGCAAAAATAAAAAATAAACAAAATTTCTGATTCCACTTTCATTTCCGGTTCGGGTATATAGGAGGAGGTCGATATACGAAAACCAAACGTTCATTATCATCATCATCATCATCATTATTATCATCGCCACCTCAAACTCGACTCGACGCTGATTCATTAACTCTTTCATAACTTTAATTCGAATAACAAAAACGACAAAAAAAAAAAAAATGGCGATTTAATTTTCGATCGAACGGCGTTCGGATAAAAAAAAAAAAAATCATCGCTCCGTTTTAAAACGTGTTCGCGAACGCGTCTCCGTTCGATTCTTAAATATTTTAATCTAATTCCACGATAAAAAAAAATTATATATATATTGAAATACATGAAACGAAAAAATTCTTCTTTCAGTCTTTTTATTTATCATAATAAATTTTTTCGATAATAAATTAATTCTATTGCCACGACGATGCGTTTTTTTTTTTTATTTTCTAAAATCACGTCGGATTAAATTGACACGAGAAAAAAAATGAAAAAAAAAAAAAAAAAAAACTCGGATTGAGATTAATAAATAATACGTGCGACAATACGAAATAACTCGTTCGAATTATAAAAAAAATTTTTTTTTTACTTCCACGATAATGGAAAAAAAAAAAAATTCTGGAGAAAAATATTTTCTATCTCTCTCTCATCTCTCTTTCTCTTTCTCTCTCTTTCTTTTTTTTTTTTTTTTGATTGAAAACGTGAGTTTCTAGAAATTTTACTCAAACCTTTATAAGATCGTTAAAAAAAGAAGGAAAAAAAAGAAAAAGAAAAAAAGAGAATGAAAAAAGAAATAACAAAAAAACGTGAGAAACCTTTAAAAGTATTCAACAACAACAACAACCAACAACAAACAAACAACAAATAATGAAACAACCAAGGAAACACGACGTAAAATTCTGTGTAACGAAAGACAAAATTTTCTTTTCTTTTCTTCTTCTTTTCTACTTTATTAACGTGTATCGAGTTTATTACGTTTAAATATAAAGTGATAGATATAAAATCTCCAGGTTTTTTATTCTCCAGGAAAAAACAACTAAAAAATTCCAGCAGACGACATTTTCGACTGGAAAAAAAAAATTCGATTTTATTCCCGTATAAAAATTTACGAAACCCTCATCATTCAAAGGTAAGCCAATGGTACAAAAAAAAAAATCAATTTTTCCGCCTTTTTTCTCTACCTTTTTCTTTCTTACGTCATCAATTTTTTTACACGATTACGTAATCATTCAGATTTCGAACGTGGCGAACGGATCACGTGACGCGTCACAACCGAATTAAAATCCTGACAACTTAATATTATTTAAACTTACGAAATAAATGTTTGCCAATTAAAAAAAAAATCCAAAATTTTTTTTTTTTTAAATGTCGGATAAAAGATTAATTGTTGTAAACTTCTCGAAACTGCTGGAGAAAACTGGAATTAGAGAATTGGCGGTGGCGGTGGCGGTAGGGGCGGCGGCGGCAGCGGTAAAAAAAAAAAAAAAACTCCAAGATTAAGAATAAGAGATTGTTGTCGTGAAAATAAATTTAAATAAAATTGTAACAAAGTCAGGGGCGTGTTCGGGTTTATAAATAATAATAATATTTATATAAATTAATTAAAACTATTTTACTTGGAAAAATGCGCGAGCCGCCATTTTGTTTTTTTGTTTTTATAACGTGCTCATCGTAAATAAGAAATTTTCCGAAACGACTCATGATTGTTTTTTTTTTTTTTAACCCCTTCCTAACAATTTATAACGTTAAGAAAATTTCCTCAGGTGATAAACTAATCTAACGCCTTTGATCTAAAATTACGTTCGGGGGGCGTTGATAGATGTGGTTATTTTAACGCGCCATACGTTACGTAAAATCCTTTTGTATTATTATTATTATTATCATTATCATTATTATTATCATTCCTGGATTTTACATCCGCGAGATTAAATCTTTTTTTTTTTTTTAGGTGCTTGCGTGCGTGCCTGCCTGCGTGAACGCCGCGCGTTCGGTCGAACCTCGAATATTACGTCATTTCGACGTTTACGTAAGGTAGAATTTTTTTTTTAAATTTGGCAACGTCGCATAGAAAATTAATAATTTTTTTTTTTTTCGTACTTACGACCTGAATTTTTAGAAATTTTCGATGAATGTTGTTCCGTCGATGAATGGTGAGATGATTGCGATGCTGTCGTTGTTGATGACGTTTCCGTCGTTGCTTTAAAAGTCGTTGTCGTGGTTGAAGTCGTCGGAGTTTTCGTCGTCGTGGCAGAAGCCGGAATTGCGGTTGATGTTGAACTTGTAATTTCTGATTTATTTTCGTTAATGACGTTGGAAGAAAGTTTTTGATTTGTTCCTAATTCTGAAACGTGATTCGTTTTAGAATTTTCTGTCGTCGTAGTCGTAGACGTCGTCGTCGTCGTGACCGCCGTCATCATCATCATCATCATCATGGCGTGAGATTCCGACGAATTTGTTTTTTTATTCGAATTATGATTCGTTAAATTACTCCTCGTCGACGACATACCAAAATTTAAAATCGATAGATTTGGTTTTGGTTTTTGAACGATGAGATTTGACGATGGTCTCGGTCTCGTTACAAAATTTGGCTCGGTTGTCGGGAACCAATGAACTCCTCCTCCGTTCGTTATAAAATTCGGTTTTCCTACAAACAAACAAACAAACAAACAAACAAAATGAGTTAAAACTTTTTTTTTTCCAAAAAAAAAAAAAAAAAAGTTTTTAGACAGGGAAAATGAATTAAAAAAAAAAAAAAAGTGGCAGTAGAAAAAATAAAAAAAAAAAAAAGCTTAACAAAAAAAAAAAAACAAAATGGGAGTCACTTTAATCCTCGTTTTTCCCGCGTAAAATAATAACAATAAATTTAAAAAAAAAAAAACTTTTCCAAATGGACATTTTCTGGAGAAAGAGAAAGAGAGAGTGAGAGTGAGTGGGGGGGAGGGGGGTGGGAAAAAAAAAACTTGTTTTAAACATTGAAATGGTAATTTTTCTTAATAGGATTTATTATATTTGCGGTTAATCATTCCCTAATGAGTTTTTAAATTGTTATTATTATCATCATCATCATTATTATTATTATTATTATTATTAGTACGACGCACATTATTTATTTATTTATTTTTTTTTTTGTTTGAGGATTTTTATGAAACGCTTATTAAACAAAATGGGTGGCAAAATGCGATTTTTTTTTTTTTTTTTTTACTTAAAAATAACATATTAATTCTTCGTTTGTTTGTTTTAACTGGTATGGCTGTTGTTGTTGTTGTTTGCGACAAAACCTTTTAACCGTTTAATCCTTTTTTCCTTTTTTTTTTTTTTTTTAAACACAATTAAGCTTTATTTAAACATATGCGTGCGAGGAGGGGGGGGGAAACAACAACATTTCGGATTTTTCCAGTTGGGAAAAAAAATAATAATGATAAACATCATTCATTTAATTAGTTCTCCAGGAAATTTTTTTTTCCAGCATTAAATAAAGAATTTTTAAAAAAAATCATTTTAAATAATTCTTACCTGACGTGGAAAACTCTAGGTTATTCGGTTTCGACGATGACCAAACACCATTTCCAGACATGGAGGCTAACCATGACGGTTTAGGCGTAGACCAATACGAACTTTTCTTCGTTGTTGGAGTCGACGTCGTCGTCGTTGTCGTTCCTCTCCTTTTTGTCGTCGTCGATGTTGTTGGCATGATCATCATAAAAGTTTGAGGCGGTGGTAAAAACGTTGTCGACGTTTTATTTTTCGTTTTAAATCTTCAAAATAAATAAAAATAAAAATAAAAATTTTTTTTTTTTTATTACAACTTTATAAATAATCGCCCGCCATTTTATAAAGTTTATGAGTTTTTAAAAAAAAAAAAAAAAAGGTTTTAAAACCTTTTTCATCTCTTTTGTGTACTCTGTTGTAAAATAAATCAAGTCGATAAATGGATAAAATTTTTACCGTTTAAATCTTTTCGAATCAACCGGAATTCCTTATCATCTCCTCTTAAAAAAAATCCCCTTCAAAAATTTAATTTTATTCCATTCAATGAATTATTATTATTATTATTAAAATTCAATGAATATATATATATATAAATATAAAGATGATGACGTCAATGATCACTGTTGTTGTTGTTGTTGTTGTTGTTGTATCGAACGTATTGT